GCGAACCATGGTCGACTACATGGGAGTCCAGCGACATAGCCATTACGCTAACTGCTAGTTCCCGTAGTTTCTTTTTTTCTTTTTTTTGGAGAGGTTTTTTGCTATAGGGCGCGTGCGCTTGCCAGACAGACAGAGAGAGACATAGAGACAGAAAGCGAGAAATCACCCCCCGGGGGGGGATGGTCACGCCGCAATCCCTTCTCCATTCTCGGGATCTTGGGCACACACGCACATGCGCCCGGCGTGAGTTTTAAGCCACCGGGTCCGGACGTGAACCGCGGTCGACTACGTGGGAGTCCAGCGACATAGCCATTATGCTAACTGCTGGTTCCCAGTTCCCGTAGTTTCTAATAAGACAAATGGCTAGCCATTTTTTCTTTAGAAAAATGTACGTTACGTGGGCTGACCGTGTGACCTGGTGACTAAGGAAGCCAGACCCCACGTGACTGACCCTAGTTTGAATCCCAGCCCTGGTGACTTGCAGTATGCTAGGCACATGTGTATGTGTGCCCAAAACCTCAGCGGAATGGAGAGACAGAGAAGGGCTTCGGCATGAGCATGCCCCAGGGGGCAGAGGTAGGGGACGGGGCTCTCTCCCTGTCTTGTCTTCCTTTGTCTTCCTGCACCCTCTGGCAGTTAAAAATGTACAGTCGGATTTGGGGTTTGGAGTCTTCAGTCATGCTTACTAATGCCAGTGGACGGTAAAAACTTCCCAGGTGAGGACTTCAGACACTCAGGATTCAGGATTTAGGTCGTGATTAGACACGACAGATCCCAGTAGCCCCAGGTGAGTGCGTACTTGGGTGATAACCCAGTCATTACACTTCAGGTAAAGTCTACAGTGTTCCCATTATGATACAAAATTCTGTATTTTAAACTGGACGGAGGGAACTTGGTAAGTTCAAGTAAGTGTTCAGTGGGCAGCCCTGGCCCTGGCTATTGGGTGAAGATGAGTGGAACCCTCAGTGCTGGGTCACCTTCCGGGGTCTTGGACTCTCAGCAGTGGCTTTTGTTCCACGTGATTACAGCTGTGCCAGTTGTCCGGATACCTGAGGCTGTCAGTGGTTGCCAAGGCTGAAGTTGATTATGCATTTTTAAGGTAAAAGCCATTCATGTCACGATACCGCGCATATTTATGTGTTAATGTTTCTGTACAATATGCTGTGTCTGTGAACAGCTACATCTGCTACTTTAGGAAGAGTAGGTGTGCAGTGGAAGTGTCCTTGTCTAGCTCACGTTTGTGTAGCGTTCCAGGTGAAACATTCAAATATTAAGCCTTGTCATTGAGCAAAATGATTAAAAGCTCTTGCACTTTTTAGAGACATAACGTGCTCGTGCAACAGGTCTGGCTGTGCCTGCGCGTTGTCTAGAGTAATCGGCAGAGTTACTGTTAAGTTTGACAGATCCTACTCGCCCCCCTCTGTTTCCGTTTGTAATTCATTTCTCTTTCATCTCGGAGTCCAGCCAGTTTTAGGCAGATTTTTTTTTTTTTGAGAGATTTTTGCTATAGGGCGCGTACACTCGCCAGACAGACAGAGAGAGACAGAGAGACAGAAAGCAGGAAATCACCCCCTAGGGGGGATGGCCACGCCGCAATCCCTTCTCCTCCATTCTCCTCTCGGGATCTTGGGCACGCACGCACACGCGCCCGGCGTGAGTTTAAGCCACCGGGTCCGGGACTCAAGCCGCGATCGACTACATGGGAGTCCAGCGACATAGCCATTATGCTAACTGCTGGTCCCGGCAGTTTCTTTTTTAAATCGCGAAAGGGTACATGCAGTTGATGGGCAGGGAGCAAACCCCTAAAGGAGAGTGGTCACATTGCAGTCTCTTCTCTGCCATTGCTCTCTCCATTCAGGATTTTGGGCTCACACATGAGCCTGGCTCCCCTGATCAGGGCCTTGAACCGCTGCCTCAGCCATGTGGAATCTGCCACTTTATTCACCACAGCACAGGCTGACCCCAAGATCGCCTTTCCTTCTAAAAATAATTATTTATTTAATTTTATTTATCATCATTATTTTTTAATTGGACCAGAGAGAGACAGGGAAAGTGAGAAAGTAAGCCACTAGGTCCAGGACTCTAACCGCGGTCGCATGTATGAGTTCAGCACCTGTAACCACCACGCCATCTGCCAACCCCAGTCCTGAGGTTCGTTTAATCTGGAAACGCTGTTAGTCTGAGCCTGCGTTCCTTGACACCCTGTCCTCTCACTCCTCTCATTCCGAGCTTCCATGGAGGACCCGGGAAGACTGGTTGATGGGACAGAGGTGGCAGATGCTTATTGCGGTAAGGGGACACAGCCACCTGAGCTGGTCAGCAGAGCAGTGAACTCAGCATTTCCTCACAGACCGCACGCACTAGCACATGGTGCCTGGTTCCCGTAGAGCAAGATGGCGAGGAGGTCGTGGGCTCACAGGAAAGCCAGGCAGCTCCTCCCTCCTGGCCCCAGATGCTTCAGATAGCCCAGTGGCCTGCGTAAAGGTGGGGTCAGTATTTTCCCAGTCTAAGGTCTCAGCTGAAAGAAAAGTGTCTACAGGTGGTGTAGTTAAAGCGCTGGACTCCCACATGACGAACTGTGG